CTAAGCTATTATAACAAGACTAATAATAAGAAATAAGCCAGCTATTTAATTTATTACAACAAGAATACACAATAAAACTAACTACCTAAGTTACTCAACAATAAACATTCATAATCATTACAAGAATACTAATTATATTTAATTACAATGATAATTGAAAGCACTAATTTACAACATTTGATAGAACTAAAAAGCATAAGAATGGCATGCATGCGACGATTTTCAGAAGCAACTCTATCTGCCTTCCTTGGAATCTGCCCTGTTTCACCTTCAGTCATTGTCCTCTATTTTCTGCAAAACACTCTGTTTACCAAACATTGGGCCTATCTGGCCCCCAATGAAGCTCGATCGGGCCCAAATAGGACCGGTCGTGCCCTAATTTCATGTAAAACTCTGTTTTTGTGTTCTGAGGTGAAAACAATGCAGATAGAATTTTTTGAGCTCTGTTTGTCCCTATTACACTTCTCTGTCATAGAAAGCCTCAAGAGAAAAATGAAGTTGTTTCCAAAACCATCAATAAGCAAGTTGTTTGCTTGATTTCGGCCACTATTTAGACAAAAATCAATGAATGCACTGAATTAACACCAACCCCTCCCCTTTATCATGGAGTGAGCTCAAAGGGGGAAGTAAAGGCGTTTCAAAGGCTGTCAAAACACCATGAATTGACGTGTGACGACTCTTGAAACAATGGACTCGGTATAACGTCCGGCCGAACCTAAGCAATATAACTCATGTTCTTTATGTTGGTTGGTTCATTTTAAGCCAAATTCATTAGTTTTTGCCATTCTTTAATCCATTTGTCAAAGGTGATGATTACGTCCACTAAATGAGAAGCATGTCAAACAGGAAGTGATTCTCAACATGAAAGAGAGACTATGCCGTTGACGATGAACCTCCGTAGAGATTAAGCCATTAAGCATAAATCTCTAACTCATGTTTTGAACAACCATCAACCAGTTGAAACAACTCTTAAATAAAAGAAATGAATAGTAAGTTGCTTATTAAAATAAGGCTCTTAACATGGAAATCAATTAAAGAAAAGCTAGGAACAACATACAACAAGCTATATATTAGAACTTATGACACAACAAACAAACTAATCAAAACTTGAACCAATTAAATAACCCTAACAAGTGAAAGACAGGGGCTCAAAGTGCATGAAAAGAGCCCAAAAGCTAAACAATAAGCAAAGAAAATAAGGCTAGTAAGTAGGAACAATGAGGGGTGGCTAACCCCTCCACCTTTGAAACCTCAAAGCATGATTTTTAGCCTCTTTTAAACTCTGAAAATCAATTTGGAAAACAAAGAAAATGGTGTAAAATAAGGGTTTGAGCTATAGATGAAGGTGCAAGAAAGAGCGTTAACTCTCTCTCTACCTTTTGGTAGCTATCCAAACCCAAGTTTAAACACTTAAAATGGATTCAAGACAACATAAAAATAGAAGAAGTAGATAGCAAGAGATAGCAAAGAGAGCAAAAGAAGAGGTAGTAAGCTTATACCTCTCAAAGAAGCAAGCTTTTGTTTGTAACATAAACTTGGTTTAAGCACACTCTCAAGCTTGAATTGTGATGCTCAAGCCTCAACTAATGTTCTAAGGTTATGATCTAAGGTGATGTATGGTACATGGATATTGGTCAAGAGAGATATGTTAGCTCAAAGTTGACTTGTATAGGAAAAAGGAGCTCTCTCTTATGTGTATAGGTTCTTTTGAAAATTTTCAGCCCTCAAAATAGAGGTATAACCTCGTTTTTATAGAATTTGAGCAAAACAAGTTGAAAATATCTTCAAAAAAAGATAGCTGGCGGGCTCTCGTGCAGAACAATGTGCATCACCATCGAGGCACGGTCGCCTCCCAATGGGGCATGGCCGGGCCCTAATGTGCTGCCTTACTCCCTTGTTTCAAACTCAGTGTAAGGTAGCACAATGTTCAAAAATGAACCTCTGAGGTAAAAATAAGACAAGTAGGAAGGTTTTGGGATTATTTCGGGGTTTGACTTTGGATTTCCTCGCCGAGAACTCGAATTGCACAATGCAGTTTTCATCATTGAGTGTGCTGGACCAAGCACCTAAGTCTTACGGGTGGTCAAAAATGGGGTGTCTACAACTAGGCTTAGTTATAATTAACCATGTTTAAATCCTAATCTTGGTTAGTCAAATTAACCTCACTTAGGTTTAAGCTAATCTTGTTTAACTTTTGCTAATCCTAGTTAATTTTTGATTTATTATTCATCAGGTTCTATTCCTTGGACTAAGATCATTAAGCTCCTCACTTAAGGTTTTCTAAGTCATCTAGACATTCAATTTCCTAATTCAAATGGTTTTCCTAACTTTCCATTGCTTGCCTAGTTTTCTATCTTAGGGTTTCATATTCTAGTTTTCCAAAACTTACTAAATTTCCTACTCATACTCAACAGATTCTAAATCCTTTCATGGCAACCAAATCATGTGCATAATGCTAATGATTACTAGAATTTCTTGCCATGATTGAATGCATGGATATGTTATACAACTTGGTTATCAAAAATTCCGTACGCTTTTCTGCCTGATGTAGTAACTACCTAAACTATCGACATAGATGGATTGTGATAGCATCTAATGTGTTTTTATAGATGTTTGTATTGACATATTTGAAGATGTTTGTGTTGGCAGATTTTATAAATGTTTTTATGGATGTTTGTACCCTTTCTGTTTTTATGGATGCTTGATGTTTTATAAGAAGTTGAATCTATAAACGTGCGACAACAGATGACTAGACAAGTCTAATTTGTTCAGTAACATGACACCGAAATTATCTAAATTATTTGACAATGTATAACCAAACAAGTTCATAATAAATTTAGGAGGCAAGGAGGAAAATGATATTTTAAGGAAAGTGAATTTCTAAACTTGCGGTAATAGATGGTTGTATAAATATGGTTTGTTCAGTAATATGACACTAGAGTAATTTCAAAAGGAATAAATGTTACGAGAAAAATCTGTAAAAGTTTTGAAAAAGGTTTAATTTAGGGTTAGTTTTAATATTATAAAGGGTGTAATAAGAATGCCAATTTTTTTTTTTTTTTTGATAGTGTATTGAAAAATAGGTATAAAGAGGTAAAATTGTGGTGTAAACAGAATTTCCCTAGAAACATCTAAATTAAAAAATGATAACAAAACATCAAAGTATTTTGTGCTTGATATAATAATAATATGTATTAAATTACATTGAATTATGCATGTATTTTTTTTTTCTTCTTTATTTTATAAAGTAAGTTGCTTCTCATGTTGGCATCCAGTTCAGTTTAGTGGTCCTCCAGTTTACTCCACGATCAGCTTTCCTCCTTCCAATCGGTTCAAACCTCCCTAGAATAGAGTTTTGTAAAGGGTCCATCAAATGGTCAAGTTGTCAAATGGCACTTTGATTTGGGAAGTCCCCATAAGCTGCTAATTAGCTTATTAACTTATTTTTATCACGACACCTCTATATTTTTTTATATTTTTTTTTCATAATAAATAATAAAAATCTAATTTAAAACTTCTTCAAGTAGTTTTTTAAAAGAGATTTGTTAGTTATTATAACTAGTTTCATACTATTTTACTCGCTCTAACATGCTAGCTAGTATGATAACTGTTTTAACAAAATTTACAGCTAGCTACATTTGAAGAGTAATGGGAAGTTGTTTAAACTAGTTTGTGTAAATAAATATGTAAAATAAAGAGTAATATTAAAACACATAGATACAAAGTTAGTATGGTAAAATAAAAAACATATCATTTTCATACTTTAATTAGTGAAAAATGAAAAATAACACTGGAGTTGCTCTTATAAATCATGCCTAAAATAACCTTAGTCTCCAATGAGACTAATAATATATTTGTTTTTTGTTTTCTCAAATGATAAAATATTTAATGAATTAATAAGTTAGATTCTAACAAAATGACAATAGTTGTTCCATTGACTGAAATCGTAAACCTCTAACTTTCTTATTGCCCCTAAAACATAATTACATAAATTACTAAACCAATTATACTGTCCTCATTAACATGTGTTAGTAAGCTCATATTGTTGCTAATTGTAGAGAGGCGAAGAGAAAGATGTTGTGCCTTGTTGAATTTTGTTTTTTTTTATTTTATTATTTGGATGAATTATGGTGTGTTTTTTTATTTTTTATTTTATGTTTAGTCACTTTTTCACTTTGATCCTTAAAATTTATTAATTTTTTTCACTTTAGCTCTATATATTTCTATTTTCTCAATTTACTCTTAAAATTACCTTATTAGATTTAAAAAAAAAATATATCACAATGACTGTCACATAACATAAAAAAAAAAAAAAAAAAAAATTTATTAAAATATTAGAGTTTAAGTTTATGTCAAAGATATGAATCATATACAATAAAATATTTTATATCACGTGACTATTAATGTGCTGTTTTTTGTTTAATTTGTAACACAAAGTACCTGAATGCAGAAAAAGACTTAAAATATAAATGATCAAAGTAAATAAATAAATAAAAAAAAAAACTTTAAAGACTAAAGTAAAAAAGTAACTAAATATAAATGGAGGAAAAAATAATTTACCCATTGTTTACTTAATGATTCTGAATCCTATAAATATTGACAAACTTTTAACATGTTTTTAAACAATGTGCACCACCTATACATTAAAAAATAAAAATAACATCTAAATAAATAAACCAAAACTACACCATAATATTATTTTCATTTTAAAACCATTTTGTTTTGTCTCACCACACTCCTCCACAGACATCACAGCTCACCTGCAATTGCCACCACAACCACACATAAAATCATTAGTTAGTGTGTCCAATTCCAAATCATAATCACTTTCTAAAATCAGTGAGGAGAGAAAATGATAGATCTATATTGCCAGCACAATTTCATCTTCTACCAGGGCAATAAACAACACATTAAAGCCCAAAAGGGTTGTATATTTCTCTGGTTACAGCAAAAGAGACTGAACCAATGGGCTTACCCAATAGACAAGGACACAGCAAGAGACAGTGCCCCACAACACCAAACAACTAGCAGTTATATTCAAGCATAAGGAAGACAGCCCACTACCTGTCGGCAACCACCAGCAGCAGCAGAAGGTGTTTAGAGAGAGAAATAGAGAGTTCTAGAGAGAGAGTGTACTGTTTTGCTTCCTGTTCTGTTCCACAGAGGAGAGAGAGAGAGAGAGAGTCAAAAAAAGAGGAGTGTAGAGAGAGAAAGAGACAGTGTGGGGAGTAATTTGAGTAGTGGGATTCAATGTTGGTCCAAGATCGTTCAACCCCAAAATCCCCCAAAACCCAGAACAGAGCACTGCCAACTCTCCATCCAAATCGTCGCTTTTCTGAGTCGAAAAGCCTCGATTTCTCGACATGGGTCTCTGAGAATCTCTACAAAATCGTCGCAATTGGCCTCCTCATCGCCACCGTCGCCGCCCTCTTCTTCCTCCGCAACGTCGGCGACACTGCCGCACTCCTCTGCTTCGAATCCCAGGCCCAACAGCTCGACAAGATCCATTTCCCCCAAATCAATTGGAATTCGATCGAACCCATTCTCGATCAATCGACCCCTTACTCGAATTTTCGATCCGACCGGTGGATCGTGGTGTCCGTATCCAATTACCCGACCGATTCGCTTCGAAATCTCGCGAAGATCAAAGGCTGGCAAGTGCTTGCGATTGGGAATTCCAAAACGCCCGGAGATTGGAATCTCAAAGGTACTATATTTCTTTCTTTGGAACAGCAAGCTCTATTAGGGTTTAGGGTTGTTGATTACTTGCCTTATGATTCGTATGTTAGAAAAACTGTTGGGTATTTGTTTGCAATCCAACACGGTGCTAAGAAAATCTTCGATGCCGATGATCGTGGTGATGTGATAGACAATGATATTGGTAAACATTTTGATGTAGAATTGATTGGTGAGGATGCTAGGCAAGATGTTATTTTGCAATACAGTCATGAAAACCCTAATCGGACCATTGTGAACCCGTATATTCATTTCGGGCAACGGTCCGTTTGGCCTAGGGGATTGCCATTGGAAAATGTTGGGGAAATAGGGCATGAGGAATATTACACTGAGGTGTTTGGTGGGAAGCAGTTTATACAACAGGGAATTTCGAATGGGCTTCCTGATGTTGATTCCGTGTTTTATTTTACACGAAAATCGGGTTTGGAAGCATTGGATATTAGGTTTGATGAGCATGCCCCAAAAGTGGCATTACCACAAGGTACAATGGTGCCGGTTAATTCTTTCAATACAATTTATCACTCATCTGCATTTTGGGGTCTGATGCTACCAGTTTCTGTCAGTACCATGGCTTCAGATGTATTGAGGGGTTATTGGGCACAAAGACTTTTGTGGGAAATTGGTGGCTATGTTGTTGTTTATCCTCCTACAGTTCACCGCTATGATAGAATTGAAGCATACCCATTTTCCGAAGAGAAAGATCTTCACGTGAATGTAGGTCGTCTGATTAATTTCTTGGTTTCGTGGAGATCAGGAAAGCATAGATTATTTGAAAAGATTTTGGAATTAAGTTATGCTATGGCAGAGGAGGGGTTCTGGACTGAGAGAGATGTGAAGTTTACTGCTGCTTGGCTGCAGGACTTGCTTGCTGTTAGGTATCAGCAGCCTAGGCTAATGTCACTTGAATTGGACCGGCCACGGGCTAATATTGGTCATGGGGATAGGAAAGGTTTCATACCTCAAAAATTGCCTTCAGTGCATCTTGGGGTTGAGGAAATTGGTACCGTGAATTATGAGATTGGAAATTTGATCCGGTGGAGGAAGAATTTTGGGAACGTTGTGCTTATATTGTTCTGCAGTGGACCTGTTGAACGTACTGCTTTGGAATGGAGATTGCTTTATGGCAGGATATTCAAGACGGTGGTGATTTTGGCAGAGCAGAAAAATGCTGATCTTGTTGTTGAAGAAGGCCACTTGGACCATCTATACAAGTAAGTCATTGCTATTTTATTCCTTCTGCTTGGTTGAGTTTTATATATATATATATATATATATTTTGATAAATGCTTGGTTGAGTTATATATGTATTGATAAATGCTTGTTTGAGTTATATTTTTTGTGGCCAAGGAGAAGGAAGTTGGGTTATGATGTTGTAATATTGCACCTGATATCTAAGTTACACGGACGCGGGTACGAGGATCGGGTGCGGGTGCGTATCTAGGGGTCGGATATTTCAAAATTAAAAATTAAGGATACGTGGATATGTATCCAAATTTGGATACGGGTACGGGGATATGTTAAATATATATATATTTTTTAAATATAGTTATTAAGATGAGTTACGTTATACAAATAACAAATAATTATTTTACATATATGCGTTTATTTATTTTTATTAATATATATAAGTATATATTATCTTATAAATATATTATATATTATACAATAATTATTATATAATATATAATAATAATTGTTATTATTATAGTTATTATAATAATAGTTATTAACTATTATTATTTTATATAGATATATACCTATTATTATTTTATATAGATATATACGAATATAGTACGAATATAGATTAGAATAGATATATACGAATATAGATATGAATCAAGAGACAGGGACGAGAGAGAGAGAGAGAGGGAGAGAAGCGCAACAAAGGAAGGGATCGATCGCGATTGCGATTGCGATTGCGAGGGAGAGAGAGAAAGCGAGACAGAGAGAGAGTCGTTTGGGGGTGTTCGGCTGTTCGATCGACTGACAGCGCTTCGATCTTCGCCTGGATCGCTGGATGGAGCTTCGACTGGTGGAGCTTCGACTGGTGGAGCTTCGACTAGATCATTCGACCAGGTAATCTCTTGCTCTCACCTCTTTCATTTCTTTTGTTGTGTGCCGTGTCCGATAGAGAATAGACGAATTCGACACAGATCCCACACCCGCACCCGTGTCGTGTCGTGTCGACACGGGTACTTCGCCCCAAAGTGGCGAGTCCATGTAACACAGATCTTTGTTTTGATCATGAATGTATGAAAGGAGAGTCAACCCTACAAAAAATTGCATTGGAGGTGGGAACTCCCTCCTAATGAGTTCTAGACTGATAGGCTACACCTATCACTTTCCTATGAAACTGTTTTACTGTTTGAAAAATGCACAGTACCATAAATTATCAAGCTGCAAAAACAGAAAATGAACAATTGAGAATGGTTTTCCCCTTTTCAATAAAAGAGAAATTTAGATGTTTCACGCTAAAGAAATAAAAACCAAGCAGTAACTTTAAAAGATAAGAACCATTAAGCTAAGATCAAAACCCAAAAGATGTTATTTTCCAATTGAAGGAAGTTACCTTTAAATGATGGTACGTTTCAGAGCCCATTTGCATTGCCTCCTCAAATTTTTTCGCTCCAACAGGAAGAATCATAATATCCTGATAATATTTCAACCATCAAAGCAATTTGAGAATCATAGCAAAGAAACAATGTCAATATGTTTAATTGTTTGTAAGAAGCAAAGTCACCAATGATACAACTGGAGCAGTAAAAAATCCATAGGCATAGATTGGAGAAGATGAAAAAGAAGCACAAAAAAATGACTATAACAAAGCAACTGAAGACAGGAGCCTAACATCATTTTACATATAATGTTGTAGTTTCCTTAAATTCATAATACATGTCATTGGCATAAGGTGATGAAGTAGAATCCTCGTTCATTGCACAACATACTTGTCATCGACTCATTGTTAAAAAATCGCACAACAGAAAAAAAATCAGAATAATAGGGACACAGGGCCGAGAATAAATAAAAATATTTGGCATGTCACAATATTCATTTTTGTGCAGAATACAATAATAGAACTTTGTGCAAAAGGTTATCAGGTAACATTGAGCAAAAATCACTTAACATAGTAACATAAACAGATATTCAAGTAGGTTAATTACAACCTGAAGAGCCAGATTGTTTCCAGCATGTTTTCCACCACTTATCAGACAGAAGGCAGGGACAGGAAGAATCAGGTGGCTTCTTCCAGAGAGATCAGCTATGTGCTTGTAAAGTGGAAGCTGAAAATAATATTTCACAACAAATTTAAAGGAAACTTAAAACAAATTTTGTAACAAAATAAAATTTATAAAATATATATATATATAAAGGAAATAGAATTCAAAATCAACTTCAAAATAAGGAAAGCAAAAGTCAGTAAAATGTTAATATCACAAATATCCATGCCTCCTTTTCAGCAGCTCCAGCTTTGCAAGCAGCAATTGAAACGGCTAAAATTGCATTTGCACCAAGTTCACCCTGCAAAATATCATGAAATTAGAAAGTTAATGCTAAAAATAAATAAAATAATATAAACAATTACAAAAGTTTCTGCTCTGGAAAGTAAGTAACAAAAATCTCTTCCAAATGCAACCAGTCATCTGAAAGGAATGTTGACAAGTGGATTTTTGGATGACAACTAATGAAAGACAACAAAGGCACCAAGCCACATTTTCCTAAGTGCTTTTAACCAAGCAAAAGAACAGCAGGTTTGAAAGGATGATGCACTTAAAAGTTAGACATATAGAAACCACTGTTTGCTAGCCTGAGATGAATGGGAGGGGCTTGAAAAGATCTATTACATGAACAAACCAACTCAAGGAAAAAAAAGTCCAAAACTTGTAATATCTAGGACTTATATGATCCATAGAAGTTAGAGGTCGTCAGTGGCCACAATAATGGTTCTACATTCTAAACTTGACTTACCAAAAATATTCTTCAATATGTACATAAATCTCTTCCAATATATTTTCCATTTGGAACTGGAACTACAAAGGATATTTTTGTTTTTTGTTTTTTTGATAAATGGAACTACAATGGATATTAAAAACCAGTAAAAGAACACACATGTTTGAAAAAGTAATAACATAAAATCTACATCTCCAACTCAACCTAGATTCCAAGATCAGCTCAATCTACACTAATGAGAACTCCATCATCGAGAATCAAATGACCGATCTCAGTAAAAGCATCACTACTTGCCTCAGAGTTCAGATAGCAATTTGTGAAAATATCAATGTTAAAGGTTTCTAGTGCCTAATATGTTGTTACACTAGTCAGTGGGAACTTTCAGATACTATTATACATTGCAATGAGTAAAGAACCCAACTCATTGCATGCATTCTTTCAGTAATATGATACATATTCCAAAAGTTTCCAAATTGTGAAATGTAAAAATGGCATTGCATATGAAACCATCTAATAATACCAAATTATTTAGAGAAAAGAGAGAAAGAAAGACACCTTCTTCTCTGTCCTGTCCAAGTCTATCATTGCCTGATCAATTTGTGACTGAAGAGTCGGATCCATACCGATCAAAGCCTCAGATATTTTCTCATTAATATTCTTAACAGCTCTTTGCACACTATGTCCAAGATACGTTCCCTTGTCTCCATCACGTAATTCAATAGCTTCATACCTGGAGTCAATTAATACAAATTTGTGGCATGATACTTCTTATGATTGAAACCAAAATTAAATAAGAGACAAAACATCATGACAACAATTGATTAAATATTTGTGTAGGACTGCTCATGAAAATGCCAAAGGATACAATTCATAGAGCATAGCCTTCTATAAATGACATACCCCTAGATACTCTAGAAACAAAGCAATGCGAGATTGCCTTAACTAGAATTACAATGGACATAAACATCTAAATATTTACACAAATAGGCAGCAAATAGGCATCCAAAATTCTTCTAGCAGTATTGCGATAGAAAAGATCATTCAAAGTTTCAAACCATTGACAACCGAAGGTAAAAAAAGGTAAGGTAGTCCAAGTGCACAACCCCATGTGCGGAGAGGTTGTTTCTGTGGTTTGAATCCATGATGCCTAGGTCACAATGGAGCCATCTTAAAAATTCAACCAAGTGAGACAATGCCATTTGTCATAATTAGATACAGATGGAATTCTAAGGAATCAATTATATTGAATAGTTATACTCTCCTAGCCTCTTTTTTATTTTTTTATTTTCCTAGCAGGGACAACAATGTGGTGATTTACTGATTACAATTACAAACTTGAACAAAAAAATCTCAAAAGTCAGCGCAGATTTTATACAGGAAAGTCCAAATTTCAGGTAATAAGATGCTCCCTTTCTAGGCTTATCCTCAAAATCACACAAATTTTGAAGTTGACATTGAGAGAGGAGGAGATTGAGAAAGCATACATTCCAGAAGAAGAGCCGCTAGGAGCAGAAGCACGGAACATGCCCTTATTGGTGTAAAGATCAACTTCAACTGTAGGAATTCCTCTGCTATCCAGGATTTGCCTGGCTTTAACCTTGGTGATCACCGAAGGTACGGCTTTCCTCATATGATTAGACTGTTTACACACACACACACACACACAAAAAAGTAATCAAAACCACTGAACTTGTTTGTTTGGAAGCAAAGAAAATTGACATGAGAAAGAGGCAGGTTACAATGAAGAGAACGGGATCGGGAGTCTTGGCCCTAACGGCGGCATTGACGGCGTCCTCGATTTTCCGAGAAAGCATGTACTTGTCCAGATATTCTTGCACCGACATTTCCTTCTCTGTTGGTGGAGTTTTCGGGAAGCTGATTAGACCTTGAAAATCTTCGGCACTGCAACTGCAAATTCTTTTTTTTTTGGTTTCGTTTGGCTGCTGAGAAAGTGGTTTAGGAAGATGGATTTTAAAGAAGTGTTTGTGGTTGCTGTTGTGATGATCTTGTTGGTGTTTGGGTTGGAGCGGTAGGAAAGAGGGTCTTATACGCTGTTGGCTGTTGTTGCGGTGAATACTTGGAATCGGGGTTTGGGTTGGGGTGGATCTAGGCAGTAGAGGAGACAAAAGGCAGTTCCACGAGGGGAGAGTATAGACGCGACGTCGTTTTGTACGTGGCCCAAAACAAAAATTAAAACTAAAAATTTGCTTAAAAAGTAGGTTTCATCTTTCTGTGTATAATTTAATTTTTTTTTTAAAAAAAAATAGTGTTTCTTTTTATGGTTTGACAACCAACTAAAACAAATCAGAAAGTTGTTATAAATTATCACATTACGTTTTTATTTTTCCTCACATTTTTTTGTTAAAAAAATCAATTAAAATAGTAATTCTCAAATTAATCCTAAGTTTTGAAAATCCTACTTGTTTTCATTTTTTAGAAAATACTTTTCAAAAAATTCTACATTCTTATTTTTCGTATTTTTTTGTTTTTATTGAATTTTTTTAATATTTTAAGCAATTTTTTTATTTTTTAGACACACGTAACATAAATATATCTAAAAAGTAAAAAAAATTATAAAAAAAATCTTTTAAAAATTCACTAAATACCAAAAATACAAAAAAATATAAGAATTCAACAAATTTTTTGTATTTTTATGTATTTATTAATTTTTTAAAATATTTATTCACAAATTTTTTACTTTTTAGATACATCTAACTAAGATGCATCTAAAAAAGTAAAAAAAATGTTTAAAATTTAAAAAATATTCACTAAAAACAAAAAAATACGAAAATTAAAAAACTCAATTTTCAAAAAACTTAATTCAGAAAACTCAAACCAAACACACTACATGCTTTTCCATTTTGGGTTTTTGAAAATATAATTTTAAAATACAGTTGCTTCCTCCACGTACTGTTTTCTTTCTTCCTTTTTTTTTATTATTATAAAATTTTGGGATTTAATTTATAATTATAGAATGGACTATATTCATGAAATAAAAAAGATACACAAATGTAATTTATGTACAATCTTTTATCAAAATAATGTAATAGTGAAAATTTTAAATTTATAGACCTTATGTCATTTATGTCCCATAATTCTGTAGACAATTTTTTCATAAAATATGTTTTTTCTATACAGCTTTGACAATTGATCACTTTAGAAGGCTACGCATAATTTGTCCTCAAATTCTTTGTTAATACACTTTCAATAATTAAATTTAGCTGTTTTTTCTCTCTCAATACACTCTTAGATTAAATTATGTATTGTTGAACCATTTTAATATCTTTTATTTATTTATTTATTTATATTGTTCATGAATCTTCTTTTGTCGTATTCATGAATATCGGTTTATTCATGAATAGAGATTCATTGTTTTAGTGTCCTTTTGTCTTGTTCATGAATGAAGTTTAATTAGAATTCATGAACTTGGTGGTGAATTCATATTTGGGTACACTCTTCCTTTTCTCTAGATTCATGGTCATTATTGTTTTTTGATGTATTTTGTAATATCTTAGTGGCCTATAAATAATTCTTCTCTTCTACTTTTTTCTATACTAACACATCAACTATTTTCTACACAAGAGAGATTACTAGCAAAGAATGGTGTTTTTCTTGGTGGAGTTTTGGGTTCACCATCTTGTGCAGAGTTGACCTGAACTATACGACAAGTGGTCAGGCTGTTGTATCCTAGAAGGGACAAGTCATAGTTTTGTGACTGCTACATCGGTATTTGGGTTCTGTCTACAACAGTGAGCTTGATCTTCTTAAAATTGTTGGTTTATTGATAAATAATGCAAAGAAAATGAGATACAAATAGATCAGGCTGAGGCACGGATATCCTTTTGTCTTGTTCATGAATGGAGTTTAATTAGAATTCATGAACTTGGTGGTGAATTCATTTTTGGTTTACTCTCCTTTTTCTCTAGGTTCATGGTCATTATTGTTTTTTGATGTATTTTGCAATGTCTTAGTGGCCTATAAATAGTTCTTCTCTTCTACTATTTTCCAAACCAACACGTCAACTATTTTCTATACAAGAGAGATTACTAGCAAAGAAGGGTATTTTTCTTGGTGGAGCTTTGGGTTCACCATCTTGTGCAGAGTTGGCTGGAACTATACGGCAAATGGTCGGGCTGTTGTATCCTGGAGAGGACAAGTCATAGTTTTGTAACTGCTGCATCGGTATTTAGGTTTTTCTTACCGCAGTGGGATTGATCTCCTTAAAGAAAACGAGATATTCATGCCTCAGCCTGATCTATTTGTATTTCATTTTCTTCGCAATTTTTTATCAATAAAATATAATTTTTCTGGTATTTTCACCAACAATTTTAAGGAGTGATTAATAAAATTATTAATCACTCTAGAGTCAGGTGATTAACAATTTTAAGGAGATCAACCATGGAACAAGTACCACAAAAAACCAATGATAGAATTGGAGATCTCAACAAGCCTTTCAAATTCAAGGGAGTTCATTTTAAGAGGTGAAAAGGAAAAGTTCTTTTTTACCTTAGCCTTTTGAAAGTTGCATATGTTCTTATCGAGAAGAACCCAAATAAAATCCCAACCGAGGAGATTAATAATGAAAACTACGAGGCACATGAAGCAAAAGTGACTTCCTATAATACAGATGAGTATAAATATCGCTTTTATCTCTTAAATTTCCTTACTGATTAATTTTATGATTATTACTATGACACTATTTACACTTTGTCTTATATTAATTTTTAGGATGCTCGCTTGTATCATATTAACAGTAAATATGTGGGAATCATGAGTAGTTTGGGATTAATTCCTAAAGTGACAAATTTTTTTTGAGAAATGTGAAGTTTGCAGTAAAGTAAAAATTACTAAGAGGCTTCATAAAATAATTGAAAAAAATACCGAATTGCTAGAATTATTTTATACTGATTTGTGTGAGTTTGAAAGAATTTTAACTCGGGGTGGTAACCGATATCTTATCACTTTTATTGATGATTTTTCAAAATACACAAACCATGTACGAGGATAAAAGCGAGTTAATTAGAATTCATGAATTTATTAGTGAGTTAATTTTTGGTTCACTCTCCCTTTTCTCTAGGTTCAGGTCATTATTATTTCTTGATGTATTTTGTAATGTCTTAGTGGCCTATAAATAGTTCCTCTCTTCTACTCTTTTCTACAACCAACACACAAACTATTTTCTATACAAGAGAGATTACTAGCAAAGAAGGGTGTTTTTCTTGGTGGAGCTTTGGGTTCACCATCTTGTGCAAAGTTGGCTTGAACCATACGACAAGTGGTCGGACTGTTATATCCTGGAGGCGACAAGTCATAATTTTGTGACTGCTGCATCGGTATTTGGGTTCTTCCTACCGCAGTGGGTTGATCTCTTTAAAGAAAACGAGATATCCGGGCCTCAGCTTGATCTATTTGTATCTCATTTTCTTTGCATTATTTATCAATAAAATATAATTTTTTCTGGTATTTTCACCAACAATTTTAAGGAGATCAACCATGGAACAAGTACCAGAAAAAACTAATGATGGAATTAGAGATCTCTACAAGCCTTTCAAGTTCAAGGAAGTTCATTTTAAGAGGTGAAAAGGAAAAACTATTTTTTACCTTAGCCTTTTGAAAGTTGCATATGTTCTTACCGAGAAGAACCCAAATAAAATCCCAACCGAGGAGATGAATGATGAAGACTACGAGGCACATGAAGCAAAAGTGACTTCCTATAATACAGATGAGTATAAATATCACTTTTATCTTTTAAATTTCCTTGCTGATTAATTTTATGATTATTACTATGACACCACTTACACTTTGTCTTCTATTAATTTTTGGGATACTTGCTTATATCATATTAACAGTAAATATGTAGGAATCATGAGTAGTTTAGGATTAGTTCCTAAAATTAACTCACTTTTATTGATGATTTACAAAATACATCAAGATGGTGAATCCAAAGCTTCACCAAGAAAAACACTCTTCTTTGCTAGTAATCTCTCTTGTATAGAAAATAATTAATGTATTTTTTTGTAGAAAAGAGTAGAAGAGAGGAACTATTTATAGGCCACTAAGACATTACAAAATGCATCAAAAAACAATAATGACCATGAACCTAGAGAAAAGGGAGAGTGAACCAAAAATTAACTCACTAACAAATTCATGAATTCTAATTAAACTCCATTCATGAACAAGACAAAAGGTCACCAAAGTAATGAATATCCATTCATGAATAAGATGAAATTCATGAATAAGACAAAAGAAGATTCATGAACAATAAATAAATAAATAAAAGATATTAAAATAGTCCAACAATACCCTACTCATTTTAATATCAATAAGGATAAGAGAGATTACCAAACAAAAATAAACTAGTATACATTAAGAAGATGTGCTCTGCATTGAACCTTCATTAGTGAAACAACAATCTCTACTCCAGAGTCAGTAGTGGTCTCAGACTTGAACTATGACTGCTTAGGGGAAATAAAGTATTACTGCTCACACATAATAATCCAGGTGTTATCATGAGCTTTTAATAGCCAGCACATGACGGCCTTGTGCTTATCCCAGTTTTCATGAGCATTTTTTAGAATCAGCCTTGTTCTCATAGAAAGCGGCCCACTTTCATGCTCACATATGTGAAATCTATCAAGGATGTTCCCGTAATTTACACACCCCACTCAACAAGAGCTATAGAATTTCATTAAGAGTATAAAAACTCAACCCTCCAACATTACAGGACAAATGCACTTACATCACAGGGATGGATAACAAAATATTAAAGAGTGCATTATTACAACCACCATATGATTCGTTCTTCCCATTAAACCTAATTACAGGATCTTTGGTCCTTAGATTGGGTATCCTCATACATGGTTTATGATTTTATAGGCTTCAAACCCATCCCTCTCGATGTATTCCAGACCCTATCTCTCGCCAAGGCCTTGGTTAACAGATCCGCAAGATTATCACAAGATCTCACATAATTCACAATTATGATGGCATTACTCAAATAGGATCTCACATTACTGTGTTTCCTTTGAATATGTCTAGATTTACCATTATA